CAGGTTCTAGAGTCAGACTGCCTGGCTTCACATTTCCAGCACCACCATCTAGTACCTCTTTCAACATGAGAAGATTGCTTGACTTCTCTCCGCTTCAGTTTCCTTATCTGTAAAATGGGGGTAGTATGAGTAACTACTTCACAGGGTGCTTGGGAGCATTGACAAACGCAGTATAAGAAAGATCATTGAGGCTGCACTTCCAAGCCTTTCCCTCCACTAAAGCTTTTGTCAGTAATCCTGTCTTGGTGGTTGCCAGGCTCAAGAGTGGAAGAAAGTAGTGTTACTTATCGGATTCTTAAAACCTCACTCATTTAAAGGGCCATGTGGGGTTGGAAAGAGCTAATAGTTTGGTTTTTTAATTAGACTTTTTTCTTCATGGACTATGACATGTTAACTGAAAAGAACACTGATTGGCTATTGATACCTTATTGCAGTTTAGTAGGTGGCTCTTTTGGTTTATCAAATTGGAAAGCAAAAATGTGGCTCATATTTCACGGAATCAGTTTGGGAGTCAAATAAACTTCCTCTAGGACAATGTCTCTCTCTAAACATGATAGATAAAGTTTATTAACTGTGAGCCTTTCTTCCAGTGCCAGCATTTTAAATAAGCTCCATCTTATATTTTAAAATTTTTCACCAGAATGGGATCATGTCTACTTAAATAGAAAAGCAAAAAGCCAGAGATATTCTTCCAGGAGTTATTTTAATTATTAAGCACCTCTCAATAGATATTTATAATTCTCAGACTATGGAGTCAAATTTTGTCTTGCTAGTAACTACTTGAGACTATAAAATCCAGTAGAAGTAATTTATTATATTAATTAAGAGACATTGTAGTGACATGTTTAACAGTAATAGGCATCAGACAGTATTATTAAAGATAGAGTGGATATATAAAATAATTGTATTCTTGAGTAAAATTTATCTTGATTAACTTCTAAAAATAACTCAATATATTTCATCTCTCTGATATTTTTATTATAATTCTCTATGAATATCATTTAGCCTAGGTAGGCTATTTAATTAATTAAGTATAAATTGTACTGTGTCAAGGCAGGAAAGAATAAAGTTATGTGTAAATGTTACCACATCTGAGAATAAATGATAAAAATTAATCTAACCAAGATGCTAGTCATAAAAGTAAATTACACGGATTGAAGAAAAATGTGAACGTCAAATAAAAAAGAGGAATTACATTCTAAATCTAAGGCAAGGTGGATGGGTAGAGTTGAGTTCCAGATAAAGAAAGATTTAGGGGCCAGCCCAGTGGCTTAGTGGTTAAGTTCGTGTGCTCTGCTTCAACATCCTGGGGTTCACTGGTTCAGATCCTGGGCACGGACATACACCACTCATCAAGCCATGCTGTGGCGGTGTCCCATGTAGAAGAACTGCAAGGACTTAGAACTGGGAAATACAATTATGTACTGGGGCTTTGGGGAGGAATTAAAAAAAGAGGAAGATTGGCAACAGATGTTAGCTTGGGGCCAATCTTCCTCACCAAAAAGCATCAAATGCAAGGACAAAATTTTAAGTTCATAGCTATAACCAGACTTAACTTCAAACCAACACATTTCAATTTAGATTCTTTCTTACCCTGAGCTGCAGCACTATGTCTCCATTCATGATGAATACTGTCAAGAATGACAGTGGAAAATGAGTTAAAACATCATGAAGCTCCTCCTAGAATGGAATGCCATCCATGAGAGAGGAAGGAAGACAAATTAAGTCTAAAATTAATGCATGTCACCAGCTCCCCCCAAATATTGACTCATAATCAGGCCAAGGTAAACTCTTTGTTATATATTCTTCAATTTTCAATTTTTCCTGGATAAAGTCAGTAAGCATGGGGTTTTTCCAAGAAAAAACCAAATGTCTCTCCAAGAAGGCTATGGTAGGAATGGTAAATTGCCAAGAGAAATATTCAATGAAGGCAAAAAAGTAGACTTGGTTATTTCTATTTAATGCTTTTCCACTCCTTTTTAAAATTACAATTTATTTCTATTTTTTCCAAAACTTCCCCTTAATTGACACATGATCATTTTAGAAAAAGTGCTAAAATAAGGAGAAACAAAAGCAGAAAAATAGCCCATGAAATGTTTACTACTTAAGGAAAAGTACTCTAAATGTTATTCCACACTCTCCTAAACTTTTGTTTTTTGACTTCATAGTGTTCATATTGAATATACATTCGAAATGTACATCGTATTCTGTATTCTATGTATAATATATACATATTTTTTCTGTATTTTTATTCACTTATCAGTTTAACATAAGCATCTTTGCATGTTATAACACACTCTTCATCAAGATAATTTTTAACAAAGTCACAATATTCTGACAAATATACACAATCCCAAAAGATATGAATATTTTATTAACTTGATACAGATAGACAAACAGCTTTCCAAGGATTGTACCATTTTACACCATCATGATACCATCATATTGAGTGAGAATGCTTATTTTGCTATTCTTTCTAACATTAACCTATTTCTGGACTGTTTTTTCCATTTCTTAGATCTCTTTATTAATTCCTACATTAGTACCCAAGTTTAAATAATAAAGCTTTAGAATGTGTTTTGATATTGGACAGGCAAATGTCCCCAAAGATTCTTCCTTTTTTACCAGTTCTTTGAAAAATTTATTAGGCCTGTCTCCATATTAACATTGCAATTGCTTCTAAAAGCAATAAAAATAGCCCTGCAATTTTGATTGTGTCTTACTGCTTCAAACCACTCAATGATTTACCTTTTCTCTAGGGCAATGTTGCTCAACTGCGAGTGATTTCATTCCCGAGGGGAAATTTGGCAATATCTGGAGGCATTTTGGTGTTGCAACTGGGTGGGGGAGGCTGCTCCTGCCTGGCATCTAGTGGTTAAAGGCCAGGGATGCTGCTAAACATTCTTTGCTGCACTGCAGAGGATGACCTCCCTCTCAATAACAAGGAATTTCCCCAAATTTTCCAAAATGTCAACAGTGTGGAAGTTGAGAAACTCTGGTCTATGGGATAAATTGAAAATCCCTTTTCTTGGGGCACCAGCCTCTCTTTGGTCTAACTCAATAGTCTTCAAACTGAGGTATCTATACCTCTGGGGATCAGTTTCCGGATCTTCAAACTGACCTGCTGGATAACATGCCCAAGGTCAAAATAATACTTCTACATTAGTATTAAATAACATACCCTGTGGTGTAACTATCAATAAGAATAATTTAAGAATCAAATAATCGACTCATAAAATATTGATCCCTTTTAGGACATTTCAAATGCTAATTAATTGTCCCAGGATATGGATTAGGGATAATTTGCCTTATGCTCTTAAGTGCAAGTCTGCACACACATACACACACCAAAATGCTTATATTGATGCAATTGAAAGTAAATTATCATGCAGACCACAAAACAGCCTCAGAAAACAGGAACTACAAGGATTTTCATTCCAGTGTTACTTATAATAATAATAAAATTTATTTAAACGTTTAATAAGAATGGCTTGGTTTAAAAAAAAAATCTTGATACATCCTTGGGTTCGTCAATTGCAGCAATTTTTATATTTTGAGTTGGAGAATTCTTTGTTGTGGGAGACTGTCCCGTGCATTGTAGGATGTGCAGCAGCACCTCTGACCTTGACTCATTAGATGCCAGTAGTACCTCACTTCCCCATTTGTGCCAATCAAAAATGTCTCTAGACATCGCCAAATGTCCACTGGGGGCAAAATAGCACCTGATTGAGAACTACTGCTCCACAAGATAGAATACTAGATTATGAAGCTATTAAAAATATATTGTAAAGAATTTTAATGACCTAGGAAATATTCATTATATATATATTTTTTTCTGTGTGTGTGTGTGTGGTGATGAAGATTGCTGTTGAGCTAAATCTGTGCCAATCTTCCTCTATTTTGTACATGGGACAGCGCCACAGCATGGCTTGATGAGTGGCATGTAGGTCCATGCTCAGGATCCGAACCTGTGAACCCCTAGCCGCCAAAGCAGAGCACACGAATTTAACCACTACACAACCGTGCTGGCCCCTGAAATGTCATAATATTTTTAATGAAAATATCATGATGTGAAACAAAAGGTAAGTATGACCCTGGTTTATAAAACTAAAAAAATGGAGATAGGCATTGAAATTAGTGACAGCTAACCTTTTTGTGTGTGTGCTTATTCTGTATCAAACATTAAGCTTTCATATGTTTTACCTATGTAATTCTCAGAATAACCTTATGAAGTTGGTACTATTATTAATCTCATTTGACAAATAAGGAAACTGAAGTTTGGAGAGGCTAAGAAACTTTGAAAGACACTACCATAATATTAACAGCAGTCATATCTGAGTAGTGAAATTTGGGTGGTATTTATTCATCTCTTTATATTTTTCAAGCTTTCCTCAATAAATATTTATTACCTTTTATCAGAAAACTTAAAAAAAGACCTTACAGAATCACAAATTTTCTTCCAGAGAACAAAATGTGTTTATTGAGTGCTTTCTGATTGTTTTCATGCAATACCTATATTAGTCTTTTTCCTATTCCTGACTTTTTTTCCCCAGTTTTATTGAGATACAATTGACTTTATAACATTGTACAGGTTTAAGGTGTACAACATAATGATTTGATATATTGCAAAATGATTACTTTTAAAATAACATTTTCTTCCTAATTATTTGATTACTGAAACGTGTAATGAAGAATCTTCTCCATTATTCTAGCTCAGATATACGTTTCTGCTTCAACTTAAAGCCTTGAATCACTGAAATAAAACCTTGATAAACTCTAGAGAAATAAGGTATCCAGACACCTTGAAACATTTTTTTGTTAACTTAGAATTAACTAGAAAACTTTCAAAAATCCTTGTTGAAGGGCTGGCCCCGTGGCTGAGTGGCTGAGTTCACACGCTCCGCTGCAGGCGGCCCAGTGTTTCGTTGTTTCGAATCCTGGGCACGGACATGGCACTGCTCATCGAGCCACGCTGAGGCGGCGTCCCACGTGCCACAACTAGAAGAACCCACAACGAAGAATATACAACTATGTACTGGGGGGCTTTGGGGAGAAAAAGGAAAAAATAAAATCTTAAAAAAAAAAATCCTTGTTGAAGAATTCTTGAAAATATATCAGCCAATCTCACCCTCCTTGGTGAAGTATGTTAACAGGCTGAGCAAGTTAAAGACAGTGTTATCACTCTTTGAGGATGGAGATTCCTTGAGGCTGTGTAGGTTTGGGTTTCAAAACATCCATGATCAGGACACAATACTGACATTAAGGAAAGTAAGACATTTCAGGCAACTGGGAGCTATTTTTATGCTGCGTCTTGCCTATATGAGGATTATTCAAAGTGGTAAACATAGTTGGTTTCTGCTTAATTAAGGCATTTTCTGAATACTGCTTATTTATGTCACCCTCCTAGCGTGGCAGAGAGGATTCTTCCTGATTGGCCTCTCTGCTCACTCTTCTGGCCTCGAATTTTCTTGGCAATTCTTCCAAGTTCCCAGCCATCATTCCATCTGCATTACTTGCTCTCTCTCCTTGTATTTTCCTAGAACCCAGAGAACTACCGTCTGAGATTATCACAGTGTCATTGGTGGAAACTCCTCAAACTTTGTAAGCTAGCTCTTTCTGGAAGCAGTGGGGTTCAACTGATGAACAGGTATCACTGTTGAGTAATAAACTTATCACCCAAAGCTTACATTGTTTTTGTGTATTTTTTGATAAAAAATTACCATGTGATATTTGTAAGCTTCGAAGTCAAGTTCCAAATTATGGAACATTCAGTTTTACTTTCCAGTCCCCATTCCCACAACATGCTGGCCAAGAAGACATTGTTCAAAACAAGCATCAAACAAGCACGGTTTTCACATGTATATTGGGTCCTTACCCAGTATTCTCTTCCTTCAATACCTTTCTCTTTGGAGTAAGTCTATAAGAAAACAAAAGTTAGGTGCACAATTTTAATCAAATGTACTTTAAAATAGACAACCAGAGGTAGAAGAGCTACCCTGAGTACTCGCCATTTCCTTATAACACATTTGGGCAACCTTACAATCAATGAGGTCCTCTCAGGTTGGTTTCTGTCTCTAAAATAAACCTTTATCAGTAGCCAGGAAAGTTACATGGGGTCTGCAATCTGGGAGGCTCAGACTATCTTTGCCCACCACTTTTTCCCTTCTTTCTTACCCCATCCCCCTCTTTTTCTGGATAGATATGAGATGTTTGGAGCCATCTTGGTGTATGTGATGGGAGAAGGAATATAATTTGGGGAGTGAGGAAGGAAAATTACGTTAGCATACTCAAGTGAATTGAAAAGTATCTTCTACAGAAATTTAAAAAATCAAATCAAAGTGCTCCTCAAGTGTGTGCTATCCATTTGTTTGAAATTATTGGCTAAAAGATGTTAGGTTGAAAATTAGCAAAGTGAACAACTGTTCAAGCTATAGTCAACCAGCATGTATTTTTCAACCAGCACTAATGCATTTTGCTAGTAAAATATTTGAATAATTCACAACATAAATTATTATTAATGTCATTTGTATTTGCTCTTACAACGTTAGTTTATTCAATCGTTTTTCTGTATGCTGATATCTCATCCTTCACAAAACACCTAATGAATGCTATTGCTGGTGCAAACTAGGTAGTCAATAAGTTATAGATATTATTTCAAAGTTCTTGGGAAAGAGGGTGTTAAGAGCATGGTACTATGGAGTCCTTAAAATTAAAGATCCATTATCTGTAAAATGACTTGGGTTTAGTGGGAGAAAAACTTCCAAATATTCAGTTCAGTTTGATAATTCTATTATCAAATTAGGCTAGATGATAAGTCTTGTTCAACATCATGCAACTAACAGGTGGCTATAAGCAGGGACTCAAACCTATCTGTCTCCAAAATCAACTCTTCTACCCATGATGCCAGTGCTAATCCAGATTAGTGGAAGAAGAAGACAAGGGTTGGAGCAGTGTTGTCAGTGTTAGAAGATAGCAGAGCAGACTCATTACAGTGAAGCGAAAGAGAGATCAGGGAACTCTTTTGGATCTGAAACATGGCCCTAGGGCTTTAAAGGTCTAAAGTCCAGGAATCTAGAAAGAGTAGGTAGCTCCCTAATGTTAAGTAACTAGTTAACCAAATTAATAAAAACCCTAATGCTACAATATCAGATGTCAGTAGAATGAGAGGCAGGAGCTGAGGAATACAGCTATGACTCTGAACATAAAATTCAAGCATGATGTAATGAGGAGCTAAACTGTAGGAGCACCAGGCTTTGAAAGGAGGACTCAGGCTGGATGCAGAAGCAGTGGCTTGGAAGGAAGCACTGGGTAAGAGCTCTGCAGCCAGAATTCCTGCTTCAAGCCCCAGCTTTGTCCCGTGCCATTCACTGTGTATAACCTAAGACAGGTTACTTAACCTCCTAAGCCTCAGTTTTCCTGTCACTAAAATGAAATAATAGCTTGCCTTATAAGGGTTATTCAGAGGTTAAATGATATGTAATCCACGTGAAGAGCTTAGTACAGTGCCTGGCACATAGCAAAAGTTCAATACTTGATAGCAATACTGCCAAAAATGAGGAGAAGGAGCAGCAGGAGAAGGGAGCATTTGATCCAGGATGACTTGGATCATGGTGGTACCATTAAGAAAAATTGAAAACCTAGAAAGCAGACTTGGCTGATTCAGAAGGAGGATGACAAAAACAGCTGATAATGTTGAGCTGGTGTATGAAATGGTAAAAGTAAGTTTTTAAGGTTTCATGTTAGGCGTGTCTAACGCTGCCCTATTAGCCTGGGAAGATGTTGCAGTGCCTTTTATTTTTCTGGGCAGCAGGGGGCTCCCAGGGACTGGAAAGCAGCAAGCAAGAGTCTCCTATTGTTTTCTGTACTTTACTCAGTTAGCTTTCTTATAGCTGGCAAAAGTGAGCTAGCATCATCTGATGCCATGGTTAAAAAGAAGTTGTGAATTCCTAGAATCATAAATACGCAATTTTCTCTACTAGGTACTTGAATTCCATTGAACAGTATAGGGCTGAATTGTGTCTCAGTCTTTAGTTAACATCCATCTATCCTTCCCATGCCATTTGTGGAACATTGGGCTAGAACCCAAGAATAAGACAAGGTGCTTGCATCAGAAAGCTACAGATTAAAGGTGATAACAAAGGAATAGAGTCTAGCATAACAAGGAGTAAGAGTTGGACTTATGGATACAGCAATGGGAACACACAATGGAGGGAGGCTCTATTCTTGCCCAGGGAATTTGGAGAAGACTCATCAGAAGAGTTGGGCAAGGTGAGAAGGTCATTCCACGCATAGGAACAGCACATGTGCAAAGGGATGGAGAATTGAACATGTCTGGGAAGTGTTCCAGGAGCAGCAAATGTAGTTTGTAGAAATTTAACAAGAAAAAGAGAAGTCTAAAGTCAAGTGTGTAAAGAGCACGTCTGTAGATTTCTGAACCTTCTCATTCACTTTGCTGTTCTGCTTCCCTCTGTAGGGTTATAGAGCTATGGGTCACTAAGTTACTTGTTCTGCAATTCCTAGACATGATATCTCTACCAGTGTATTTTTCAGTTGCTAATTATTTTCTTCCTCCTTCAAAGAATCATGTCTTAGAAATCACTTCCTTCTTTCTAATTTTGATTTTTATGTTTTTTATTTAAGATTTTTCTGTAATTTAAAAACGTATTTGAAAAGCGAGTATCTGTCTATGTAGTCTTACTCTACACTAAAATAGCAAACAAGGAGAATTCAGTCCAGGTACCCCACTTTTCCTCATCTCGGTTCACTCTTAGCACTTACTTGTCCTAAGCAATGTGAATGTACCTGTAGCCAAAGAAATTTATAATTCAACCGAGAAGCCAGGTGTCTGTGAATACTCTAGAGTCTAATCCTTAGATTAATTTAAAGCAAGAGAGATGATGTTGTTGTTGTTTTTTGTTTTATTAATGGAGTAGTTTCAGGCATGTATACTAATTTCCAGGATTAGTATTTTTCAGGACTGGGAAATTCTTTTGTTCTTCACTAAACATGCATTTGAAAGGATGAAAGGAAATAAAAGGTTAGTAGGGACAATCAAATTAATGCGAAAAAGGCAAGAGTAAAAAGAGGGGCTGGCCCCGTGGCCGAGTGGTTAAGTTCGCGCGCTCCGCTGCAGGCGGCCCAGTGTTTCGTTAGTTCGAATCCTGGGCGCGGACATGGCACTGCTCATCAGACCACGCTGAGGCAGCGTCCCACATGCCACAGCTAGAAGAACCCACAACGAAGAATACACAACTATATACCGGGGGGCTTTGGGGAGAAAAAGGAAAAAATAAAATCTTTAAAAAAAAAAAAAAAGGCAAGAGTAAAAAGAAAAATGTCCATACCAACATCTAGCACTGTGCCTGGCAGATAATAAGTATTCTGAAATACTCTTGAATGAAGGAACGTTGAATGAATGAATGTTGGTGCTCCGCTCCTCCCCTCCACAAACATTAACATCAGTGTGAATTGGTGCATGTGATTTTAGATGCCAGGCTGCCTTACTATCACATGGAAACTAATCTACTTGATAGTCCTGGTTGTTTTTTTAAAACAACAAACTGTAAGTTGAAGCACAACTTGTTTCTTCTTATCTTCATGTCCATCTAAAACATCTGGCTCTTTTCCTCTATTATATGCATCATCACTTCTCAAGTGTTTTTCTATTCTGTATCTGCCAGAGGTTGTCAGTGTTGTTATGACTCTCTTAACTCTTCCCTTATAAAGGGATCCCATAAAAAGTAATACTGATGAATAAATGAGATGTAAGAAGCAATGCCCTTCATTTTTGCATTCAAGAGAAAGGAGTTGAAAGAATGAGTAATATAATTTTCTAGAAATGCTGATTCTCTTTCTGATTAACTAGATACAGGTCAGATAGAAATGGTCTCCTGGCAGAAGAAATGGCCCTTTTCCGCCCACTGAAGAAAGTTTATGTGTTCCCAACAAACACCACTTGGTTCTGTGGATCTATGAGCACTGCTAAAAGTTGCAGTTAAATATCACCTTGTTTTTCCTTACTAGAAACTTAATGTTATATTTTTAACATTTAATGTTAATGTTATTTGATTTTAATTTAATATTCAATGATATACTGATGAAAAGAAATGTATTTACTTTTGGTTAAAATCTTATGTTTAGGATCTGTATAATTTAATTTTACTCTCAATCTGGATGGATTCTATAAAGACTACAATAAAAAAGAAAGAAGATATGCTTCTCTCTCTATTCAGAGTTTTACAAAGAGAATCTCAGATCTTGGGGTTCCCCAACTCCTTTTTTTTTTGAGGAAGATTAGCCCTGAACGAACATCTGCCACCAATCCTCCCCTTTTTGCTGAGGAAGATTGGCCCTGAGCCAACATCTGTGCCCATCTTCCTCCATTTTATATGTGTGATGCCTGCCACAGCATGGCTTGATAAGTGGTGCACAGTCTGCACCCAGGATCTGAACTGGCAAACCCCAGGCCACCAAAGAGGAATGTGTGAACTCAACTGCTATGCCACCGGGGAGGCCCCCTCAACTCCTTTTGATAAATGGTAAAGGAGCATTTTGAAATGTTCTTGTGCAGACATACATAAGAATATATGTGATATTCCCTTAAAAATCAATTCATATAAATATTGTGAGTGTCCTTTTGGATTAAACAATGGAGCCATTGTATGGTTGGCAGTAATGTCACAGAAGGTTTCTAATGGCTTCCAGTATTTACCAATAATTCACAAGGGATGCATTTACATATATTTTCTACCAAATCTACAGCATTTGGGCTGAGTTTTCCAAGTCAGGTAAATGTCCCTAATTGTTTACATTGGTGTCCACGCCAAAGAGGAGTGACTTTCCACAACCAACATACCAATCTCAATAGCTAGCCTTTGGCCCCTGGCAGATGGCCCAACCTCAGGCCTTGCCAACTGG